ACATATTTCTGTGGTGTTTAGGCAATAGCATGAATAAAAATTGATCCCATTAGAGTTCTGTCCATTATAAAATAAATGTAAATAGGAGTTGAAGACGTATGATTATGTTCCCGAAGGAAATTACCTAGATATAGCAGAAAGAGTGCACTAAAATATTTATTAGCTGGTTTTGAAGATTATTTTAAAGGTATTTGCTATTAGATAGCAAATTAAATTGGCAAACTAGGAGTTACTACAGCCTCTGTAATTAAAACCTAATTGAACATTGTTGGATTTTATCCCTATCGTCTTCTTATGGATGATTTTTCTTTGTAAGAAAGGCAGAAACTGCATTTCATGTTCATGCCAAAAGCTTCACATTTTTTTTATGTCCTACTGCCAAAAATAACTTTGTATGTCCTAAGGTCACCATAAAATATTCTCCTTTAATTTACTAAGTTCTGTGCAAAACATTCGGAAAAAATATGTGAGAATTTTGTAAGTTTGTTTCAAGTTCTATCAGTTCTAGAATTAAGATAAAAAATTCTGTAAATTATTATTCTTATCTTTTCAAGAGAGAGGCTACATAAAGAATCTTCAGGCAATAGTGACTTTCAAGTGCATTGTTTCCTCAGAGAATTTTCATCGTTATTTACGTTACTTGTTTTATATGTCTTACCAGGCACCCTTTAATGTATTTGCTGCAATTCATCTCTTTATAATTGTTATTTATAGTTATTTTAAATACAGAATAGTCTTATCAATGTAGGGACTACATACATTATGTTTCCACTTGCATATATATATAGTGAGAAACTCAGTGTATCCAAGAAATGGGTTTGAGAAAGTAAATAGCAAAGCACACGCACGTCCATTGTAAATCACTGAGAGTGCTGAAATCCTGTACAAAAAATGGTGAGCTGCTTTCTAGATATTACTTTGCTTTTAAAATTGTAAGATTTACACATGAGATGCTGAGAATGTGCTGCCACCTTGTCCCCCTTGGCGCTTTGACAAACAACACTTTTCAACGTAGGTACTCGAAACAGGAATTTTTTCTTGGGATTATTATGTTAGGGAAGAGGCTAAAGAAGAGGATAGGTGAACACTGGGATGCTCATCTGTAATAGGCAGAGAAAAACAAGAAAGTATTGTCATACAGTAAATCCAGCTGAGGATTGCGCTGAAGAAGGAAGAGCTCAAAATGGAAAATATTTTGTATTTTCTTTCAGAAAATGACTTTTGCTTATTTTTGCATAAAATACGTCCGAAGTTGGTTAGCTGAATTTGAAGCAGTTTAGCATTCCATAAGCCACTGTCCTTATTAATATTTTTCTATACTGTAATGTGTTGTGAACATTTCTGTGCTGGTGAAGTCAGGAATTAAGAGGCAATTTTACTTCTGTGTCTGTATGGCTCTAATCCTGAAACTTCATGAACAGTAAAACCAGTCAAATTCGCTGTGCATGAGATTACCATACAGCGATTGTTAGTTAGGGTATGTGACATCTTGGTTAACATGACTATTTTCTTTGCAAACATTAATCTGTTCTGATTCTGTGATACAAAACCTTATGGCATTGTTTGTCATTGTTTGTCATTGTTTAAGACTGCAGTTTTATTAAACTGTACTTGGAACCATTTTGTATCAGAAATAATTTATGAGAATAAGGCAGATTAAAATGTCATTATTAGTATTATTTTAGATGCCAACAGTCTGTGTATAAAGAGGCAATGAACTATTAACATTACTTAAAGTCATGTTAAATCGGTTGACAAAAATGAGTTTTAGGCTATACTGTATTAAATTTTCATATAACTGTCAGCAGTTTGGCATATTTATCAGCCTATATTAGCAAAGAATCGAATAATCTTTTCTACAAAATAGGAAAATATCATTGCCCCATCATTTTAAAAAATAGAGGAGTGTTAATAATAAAACTTGATTTCAGACCTCCAGATCTGTGTTCTAGCACTATTTTTTTTTAATCTTTTTTATTGAAACACTGATTCAGATGAAGGATTATGTGAAACCCCCTGACTTGGGGACAGAAATTTAAATACAAGTGTATACATGGGGAAAAACAAAAAGAGTCTGTGCTAACATCTGAGTTCAACATCTTTGATTTAATGTTTAGATCACAGGGGATAGATATGAATAACCAGGCTGATGCATATTAAACTAGTTGGAGCTATTTTTAAGTCAATGGTTTTGTTCCTGCTGTACTCATTAGAGGAAGAGACTAACTGATCTCATGGCCTTTAGGATGATTTGCAAAACACTTTAAATTAGCATAGCTTAAAATAGAAAATGTAGAAAAGAATTATGTGAAGGGTTTCATGTAAGAAGAGTAAGAAGTGAGTGAAGGAAAAAGAATAAATGAATCGTTCTGCATGAATCAGAGAGAGCAGAAAAAATGAGGGTGCTTCACTTGCACTGAAAAATTCTCCAATGAATATGATATTAAATGATTTCATAGTATTAAAACAAAGCCAGTCCAGAAGAAAACTAGAATTGTGGGGTTTCTGGAGTATTTACTTGAATCTACATTACTTTAATGAGACAGCCAATAAAGAACAGATAAATAGGGAAGAAACAGAAAAAGGCAAGAAGGGTTGCACATTTCAGAGTTTTAGATGCAGCTAAAAGACATCAGGAGGCAAATGTGAAAGCAGTTGTGGGTACCTACACCAGACATTGTATTAAAATGAGGAAACAATGAATGAGACAAAAGACAGCAAGGAAGAGAACTAGTCATAATGCGTCAGTAAATCAGGCAGCAGTAAGTATTTCCTGGTAGATCGGTATGAAGACGAGAGAGAATTATTATGGAAAAGTAACCCCTAAATGTTATTTCATTTGACTAGTTAGGATTTTGGCTCTTCTGTGGGTTTTAAACCAAGTCAAGCATGGCTTCCCTTGTGTGCTCACTAACCCGCCCCTCCGTGAAGTAGGGTTGTTCATATGTAAGGAGTTTGTTCCTGCCCTGTTGTGTGATGTAAAGTTTTTCAAACATGAATCTAGGGATAACTGGAGTTTCTCATCCTTAACATAGCCCTTGACTTTCTCTGATCTTTTTTGAATTCCACAGTCATATCATTATCTGGATTGGGCTGTCAATAATAAAATCTAATAGGCTGTTTTTCCTGTTTGTGCCTGTAATTTCCATCCAAAGGGCTTCTGCATCACACATACAGTACATTATGTAGCTACCTTGCTAATCTGATTTACTTTAACGCTTCTGAACATGTAGCCCTATTCTGTCACTGGCAAAGACCAGATATCGAGGAACTCTGTATTAGTTTTACAACAGCCCATTAGCTGCCTTCCTTTTCCAAATTTGCTATAGCCAATGATATTGATGTTCCCATTCAAGACTAGACATTTTGGTTCTCCATCTTAATTCTCAGACTGTTACCGTTTATGTGAAGCACATGTGTTACTGGTTTGGTTTCCTGTAGTCTGCTTATGAGGCATTCTGCCCGATACCTATTTACGGTTTGGCTATGGCTGGCCTATGCACTGTCCTTTACTCAGAGATAAGTTATGGCTGTGACTTTACTCAAAGGGGTGAGTCTTTGCCTGTCAGCTATCCCCTACTCTGCAGTGATGCAGTGAAGTTCTTGGTGTACTTGCTGTCGGGTTGGGTTCCTTGTGATTCAGGTGAAGACCATCCTGTCTGCCCTGTATTACAGAAGTGTCCTCAGGTCCCAATTGTTCTTCATCTCTTTCCTTACCAGCAAGCTAGGAGGAAGAAAAGAGTTAAACTCTCTGTTTTCCCTAGGTTTAAGAAAAGTTACTGCTGCCTGATTTACTTCCCCCTCCCTGGCAGTGTTCAAGGCCAGGTTGGATGGGGCTTTGAGCAGCCTGGTGTACTGGAAGTTGTCCCTGTCCATGGCAGTGGGGAGTGGAACTGGATGGTCTTTATGATCCCTTCCAACCCAAACCAGTCTGTGATTTTAAACCCTGAAGGAAAGCTGAAGGAAGGAGGGTGGGGGAAAAGTAATGTTTTGTCAGAGAGAAACAAGAATGAGACTAGATTATTAGGAAGTGAGAAGGGAGATGGCTAGTTGGACACATCAGGTCATTTACTTGAAGAGAAGATTTACAAATGAGATATAAAAGCAAAGTCAGGAGGTGGAAAAACATTTACGGGATCTAGAAGCCTTAAGTAAAAAGTCAAGGAAAAGCAGAAGATTTTAATAAAACAGTGAAATTGTAATGAAGCTATAAATCCTTTAGATGTGAGATTTAGATAAGGAAAAAAATTGGGAAAATTAAAAGAGGAAAGAATCATAGGAGGAAAACACATTGGTGTTTAAATACTATTTGAAAATGTTTTAAGAAGAAGCTGTAGACTCTGAGTTCGTATTGTACAAATGTTTATCCCGAGGTGTTCACAGCTTCTCATACATTGAATATTGACCTTACAGGCATCTTTGGTCTGATGCAAGACAGCCATTTTTACGTTACAGTATTTATTGTATGAGAGGGGTAGAATAACAAAACAGGCACAAATATTGGTGGTTTAGTAAAAATTATTTTGTAAAGTTGACTATTAGTGCATTAGTAAATATTTGTATTTTCATGTGATTATACATAAAGTTTTGTAGATTTGAGAATAGCTGAGTGCATTCTGAAGAGGCATCGATGTTAATTACACAGCAATTTATCCTCTGCAACTGATTTGAAGAACTTAGTCATATCTTACATTCCTACTTAAGACCGTCTTTTAAAATAATTCCAAAATAGTCAGTAACCATAAATGCACAAATGTAAAATGCATCGATGCAGTTTTTCAGATGCCCGTTTCTTACAGTGCTAACTTTATTTTTTTAAGAGTTCTGAAGTCAAGCAATGTTTGCAAAGGCAAGTTTTATTACTGTCTGGAGAAATGTAGTTGGGCTCATACATAAAAACTTGCTACTGTTGCGATAGATATATCTGTCTTTAAAGTGCTGATTATTGTTTTAACGTTTGTTTATTTTTATCATAAAATAGTTTTCTTTGTTTTGATTAGGGAGGCCTACCTGCAACTGTGCGCTGGGTTTTACAGGACCAAACTGCAGTCAGATGGTCTGCGATCACGTTTGCCAAAACGGAGGAACCTGCAGTGTCACTGCTGGGAATCAACCCTTTTGCAACTGCTTGCCTGAGTATACAGGAGACAGATGTCAGTATTGTAAGTGCTCTCCACAAACTATTGAATCCATATTGATAACAAAAGTTCTACAAAATTGAAGTTTAACATGAGTTGAGTGATTTAGGGTTTTTTTACGGCATGCGTTGGTAAACTGAGCTCCAAAATTGTTCGGACTGCTAAGGGATTGTAGTCTGATGTACTCAAGTGATCTTTGAACATATTTCTACAGTGTCCATCTGCATGTGTAGGTGAAGAAAGAGCTGTTAAGGAACGATTTATTTATTATTTTCATGAAGGAATAGGAACAATGGAGCTGTACAAGACAGCTGACTTTGCCAGTATAGATGAGATAATTGTGTTAAAATTTTGTATTCCAGGTTCTCATATTTGTTATCTTCCACTGGTGGAATACCTAAATATAGTGGATTGATGTAGTTGGTTAAAGAATTTCTCTAGTATCCCTTATCTTTGCAGACCAACACGTGTATCTTGAGCTGCTACTTTACCTTTAATTTTTATTTCTGACCCCAGTAAGCAGTACATTGACAACTGCTTTGAGTTTCACGCCTTTACATTCCTTCATCTTGCTCAGTCTAAGATCACCTTGTGTGGTTTCTGCCCTCTCCTGCTACTGAAAATCAGGATTTCTAAGTATTACTTTTGTGTAATTCTCAGGACTCAGATTCTATCCTCTGCATCCAAGGTTCTCCCTAGTTTTTCGTTCCACTAGCCCATCAGTCTCTTCTCGTTGAGATACTGTTTTCCAAAGGTTTCCATGCCTTTAGAGAGGCTTTTCTCACTTTTTAGAATGTTCTCTAATTTTTTACTTCTATTACAGAGGAGAGCGGAAAGATTATCATCAATCAATAGGCCTTCTGTTCTTACTCTGTTCATCTTTCTTTTCTCTCCATGCTTTCTCTTAGTGTGGATCACCATTATCTGTTTTCTGTAACTCAAGACATTTGAACATAGTCATAAATTTCTTCTTTTGGTCACTCATTTCAAAATTACAGTTTGTCTTCCTTATGTCTCCAACATGATGACTCACTAGCAACCCTAACCTAAACCTGATTATTCTTCCAAGAACAGAATTATTATTTTTTTAATCTTCTTTTTTCACTCCTGGTTTGCTTTGACTGTAACATTCTAAAATAGAGGACTGTCATAGTGCTTGTTGTAGAATAGAACAATAAATGTAAAAGCCATCATCTCTTTTGTACGTAATTCAGTGGATTTGCTGAAGACGGCTAGATTTGAACAAAACGGAAAGGGAATTAGCTGTTATAAAGGTCTGATTTGGAATTATCTACAAGATACAAATAGTGTTTAATTTTAGTGAAAGGTCTGTCAAACAAGGAAAGGGTTAGCGTGTATCTTAAATAGGATTTGTACTGAAGTAAACTGAATGTATTTTCAGTTGGGAGACTATGAAATAAATTGAAACCTTTGAATGGAAAACCAGCAGTAATTGTGATTCTCTCCCATTTGGTATTAAACAAACTGCATGGATCCACAAATAGCTATCTGCAAACACAATTGGGTGTTTGAAAACTGTATAGTACATAAATCATGCACAGACAGACACACAGATTAAGAAAAAATATTTACTTGAGGCTTACCCAAAACCAAACAAATTGTTTCTAGTTGAATGCTTCTGCAAACATCTTCTTTTTTTTTAAAAAAAAGAATTAATTTAAATGTAAATTTAGAGGCACTTTTTAAGCAGTGCTTATTATCAGATTTGGATTGTCCTCTGACACTTTGAAAAAATGCCACAATACAGACACTTGAACACATTGTAAAATACAAAATAAAATTAAGCTTTTCTTTATTTATGTCTTAATAAAAAAAATAGTCTTAGAATCTTTTAAAGAATTTTTTTTTTTTGGTGGCCAATAACAGTTCTAAGAAGTTGTACAGGTTTACAGTTAACAACGTGTATATAAATTCAGATCTATGAATTTTTGCTGTATTCACACTTATGTGTGATTTTTTGCTTTATTAATCACATTCACTTTGTATGCGTGTTGGAATATATTAATATAGCAATATTGCAGAGATTGGTTGTCTCTTGGATATCTTTTTCAGCCTTTCTATGTTGTGATTGAAACTAGTTCATATGCAAAGGATGATACAGGAATGTGCATAGGTATTTTATTCATTCTTCCAAGCTGAAAATATTATTAGTGTTTTTTATGGCAGGGAGAAGACATTTACTCGCAGTATTGCCAGATTGCAAAGACCTTATTTTCCTCATACTTATCGTCTCCGATTACCCAATGCAGAGTTTCTCCTGTGATTAGTTCACATAAGGGCTAATAACCGAAATGTGTGCTCCGTGTCAAGGCACTGGCACTGCTGAAATAAATTTTAAGTGAATGAATTTACATAGAATTCAACTAACATTGTGCGTGTTATTATATATACATGAATTTGATGTATTTGAATATAACTCCCTATTTTAAATTCCTGAAATAAGACATACAGACTAGTTAAAGTTCATTTCTTGTATCATTTAAGGCCCAAACAACCTAAAAAATAGAAAACATTTTCCCACAGTTACAATCATTCAAAGTGGATATAGTGATTTCACAAGCTGTTACTTTCCCTGAAACTGAAATTACTTTCTTTTGGGGGGGAAGAATTATTTTTGTGTCATTTCAGTCCAAATGTAGCATATGCATTTTAGGATACAGCAGAAGATTAAAGATGTTTGTGACTAGAATCAATACTACAACTTAATAATTGGTTTAGAGTACAAACTTCCTATTCCTAGGTTTTGAGGGGGATTTTTTTTTCCTATTGTACGTGGAGACATTTCCCTCGGGCAATGCTTTTTTCATAAAATGTCTCTCAATATTAGCTTTCAAACTACGGTGGGGTTTGTTCAAGAAACAGCCCCCCTGCTGCTAATTACCATCCTGTACCTTGAATTGGGAACGGCAAACAACGAACTACTTCATTTAGTGTCTTTTAAGCCTCTCTGGTTGCTCAGTAGTGATTCCATAGCAGAGGAGTCTGTAGCCTGCATAGACTGCTGGAGACATACAATGATGTGTCAAACAGAAATAACCTCCTCCAGCAGTTGTGCTTCGTCCTTTAGGTGAGCTCTTCCAGCGTGGTGAGTACCAATGGCATGGGGGTCAGTTCAGACTGCTCAGAGAAGCACAGAGAAGCATAAGCAAAATGTTTCCCACTTTGAGATACCCTCACAAATCATCCATCGTGAATATATTCAGGAAAATATATCTGGTTTAGTAGTCTCCAATTTGCTGCTTACAACGTGTCCCAAGTCAAATGGCAGCTGGAGTGTTTATACTTCCAGACTTAAGGCTGAGGTTGCCTTTTGGCCAAGGTTTTGTTCTCTGTGGACGGCTTGATAATGCCCTACTTCTAGCTGCTACTGACTCACCCTCAGCTGTATCTTGTGCTTTGAAGGACATGAATTTTTTAGTTTTATCAGGAAGGTAATGTTTTATTAATATGGACCAGGTTAACTCTAAGCTAATACAGATGCATAGTTCAGAATTTATACATCTTGTATATCAATTACTTCATCTGTCCATCAAGAACACCAAAATCTCAATGCAACATGTTAACTGCACAGAACTGGAGAAACTATTAGAAACAGAGAGAAACAAAGACCTGGAATTGTTTGGCCCCATTAAGGATCTTAAATTACTTAAAAAATGCCAAACAAACAAACAAACAAAAAACCTCAACCAAACCACACACGAGTAAAAGGAAGTTGTCACTACTGCATAATAAAAATGAACCAAAACGTTAAGATGCCAGTACATTGTAGCTCTGGAAACTTCTTCAGGTAGGCAACTTGGGTTTTTTTAAAGGGAGGTGAAAAAAATGAGACAGTTACTGAAGCTTTTAAAGAGTTAAAGAAGTCACTACTTGAAATCTCAGTTCTGCTGGCATTTCAGAAGTTAAGTAAGATAATGGAGTCTTGCACGGTCTGTAAAGATAAGTGTGTATGAAGTTTGTTGTAGAACTTATGGATTATGTCTTTATATATTATTATTATTATTATTAGAACTTCATGAAATTTTAATATGTGGATAAGTGAAAATAAAACTTAATTATTTCAAAATACTGTTTCCATTTCAGTTTAGCATAATGCTGTTAATGGTAATGGGAATGTATCAGAAGATTTCTATTCAGCCAATGTCCCATTAAATACATTAACACTGCTGTGCTTTTCTCATCAGTAGTCTTTATATTATGTGGGATGATGCCATAATTGGTTAGACATCTAGAAGGGGCGGGGGGAGGGGGAAATCTCTTATGAGTTTCTCTTTCTATTTCACTTCTCAAGACTATGTCATTAACATATTATATATCTGTTTACAGGGTGTTCTGGATTCTTGTAGTTGCCAGTGAGACACCAGCTTCATTTATCATTTTGTTTTTATTATAGTACCTTTTAAAACATAGAAAAAGTATTATTTTTTTTCTATGATGCTCCTTAATGTCTTTCAGTAATTTGCTTTCATGTTGCTTGCAGATGTTTGCCACCATTATTGTGTGAATTCTGAATCATGTACTGTTTCTGATGATGGAAGCGTAGAATGTGTCTGTCCACTACGATTTGAAGGTCCAAAATGTGAAGTGGACAAGTGTATCAGATGTCATGGGGGACGCTGCATAATAAACAAGGAGACTAATGACATAGTATGCAAGTAAGTGTGCCTGGGGGGATGATTGTGTTCAAAATCATATATTTCATAGCAATTATATTGCATTAACCTTTAAGTCTCTTACACAGGGCTAGCCCCTGAACCGGTCACATCAGAACAGTTCCTTTGCGTGGCTCCTTCCCACGCAAAACCCACTGGCTCCTACCTTTTCAAACCAACTTTTGGAGCACTCCTCACTGGGGGAAGCATAGTGTAGCAGGAGGCTGAATGGGTCTTCACTTGGAAAAACTGGAGTAGTTAATAAAGTTAACAGTCAAGATTTACCACACTGTTGAAATTTGTTCATTCTGCAGTACCTGTGACAGTGATAGAGACATTTTATGCTAATGAAAGCATACGTAGTAAGATGTGCTGCTATATTGCTTAGTGATTTTTTGTGTAATAATAGTTTATTTTCATAAAAAGAAAGATTAAAAGTATTTTGTGTAATAAGCTCACTGCCTCTGTTAGCTTTTCAAAGTGGAAACGTGGAGGTTTTGCAATCAGTAGATCTCATACGTATCATAAAATCAGTATTTTAGTATATGGATAATTATAAGACAATTCACTAGATTTAATAAGATACTGATTGCTATTTGTAATTTTTTTAACCATGACAGTTGCACTAATGGAAAGATTGCCCCTACCTGCCAGTTATGTGATGGCTACTGTTACAATGGTGGTACATGTCAGCTGGACCCAGAGACAAATGTGCCTGTCTGTCTGTGAGTATCCTGCATTGTGTAGCTCATTAAAATATGGGCCAGAAATAATGAAATTATTATGCATGTGTCTTTATTTTTGATCTCTGTAGGGTGTATAATGTGCCGGTTGCAATCATCACTTACAGTATATTTTCTGGCTATTTCTGTAACCTAATACTTTGTCTACATTTTTGCAATATGTGTATTGAAAGGTACTACTACAGTATATATTGTGAATGCATTTAGATACAAAGATACATCTTTTGAGACTTCTAATAATTTCAGGCCAGATCTAAAGCCTGTTTAGGAATTTATTCAGGAATGGAATCCAGAGGTACAGAATGGTTGCCTGCCCTGCTGCTCGAAGGTGGATTAAGTCTTTTCTCCTATAAAGCTGGTCGGAGGTGGGGCAGCACACTCCTGTAATGAACCTGGTGGCTAGAGAATAGGAAGACTCATGTCAGCGTTTATTTCCTTTATGGGTCTGAGGATATGGTCATGTATCTCTTGTTTCATCCCTAACCTTCACACTGCCCCCAGTAGCTTGGCTGTTCTGTGGTGAGACTGCTCTCTCCCTCCTGCACCACGGCTGACAGAATAATCCAGGGAGCTTTTCGTAAGCCCAGACGTCAGATGACAAAGGAAATGTGATTCTGTGGTCTAGACAGTGAAGTACTCTCAAGAGGTAGAAAACCCTACATTCTAGTCCTTTCTTGAGAGCTATGGTGTATCTTCTTTTTCAGCTGCTAAATGTAAAATACAGAAGTAGTCACTGTAGCAAGAAACTAATTTCTTTCCTGCTCTCAGTTACATTGAGCTATATAGTCATACTCCTTGTTTTGTTTTTTTTTTTCCTTTTGCCTAATAAATGATCCAATCTTTTCTGCACTGCTGAAAAGCTTCATTGTGGAATAGCCTTCCACTTCTGAGAACAACCTGCAGGTCAGAGCATGACCTGAGGTGTTGGAAGAGAGAATTGGACTAGAGTGTCTCATTTCCAGGGTGACATAAGTCAGTTGTTGTCCAAAGGGATCTGGCATTACAACTTTGTAAGTACAGATAGAGCCATCCCTTCATTTTGTTGATGTGAATGAGGTAGGTGCTCTTAAAAGAGAGTGCTTGTTGTATTCGGACTTTCAATGAAGTTACATAGAGAAATGTCTGGATTTTGTTGTCTGAACAGTGTAAGAGATGGACCTCCCTGTTCCTCCACTTCTGAATGTGCAAAGGGGCAAAACTGTAGTTGCTGTACTATTGAAAAGAAGTTGTCAGTAGCTGTTTGCAGCTTTGGGGTTAGAGGCAGTGGAATGCAGTTCTGCGTAGTTGTCCTTATTCAGCTGAAAATGCTTTGTCTCTTTTTCATTATTATTTTGATCTAGCCCTTTTGGCCTGTTATTCATGTCTCCTTAAACGTCTTTTGTTGAGGACTAGAGAGACTCATACATCTCAGCAAAAGGAGAATATCACAGATATAATATGTAAGGCCCAAATATAATGATTAAGTCTGGTGATTCATTTGCTTAAACACCTAGAATGGCTATTTTAGAAGCTTGTGATTATTCCTTTCTTTTTCCTTATAAAACTGGCTTATTCTTTTTCAAATTCATATGGAGCACCATAGCATCTCAAGGAAAACAAGTTTAATACGTTAATTTGTGTATGGATTTACAATACATAAATGCCAACACTGTTAGCAGTGCTAAGAAAAGTCATGAACGTTTTTAAGGCCATTGCACTCTGGATCAATCAATACAAATGTATAGTACATTTGACAATAATAGCTTTGTTAAGAATGTTAAATTCCTGAACCCATCAGCTAGTATAAGCCCATTGTTTTAAAAGTGTTTGGTCAATGCTGATGAGCAAACTTTTCAGTACAGTCAGATTGGACCTTCCGTGAAAAACAGAGTATTAATTTTGTTATCTGTGTGTGTCTGCCTGTGGATGTGTGGGTGTCTTGCCATCATTATATATAATGCGTTTAAAATCTGTTCAGCAAAAGGTAGAATATTTATATAGGTCTATTTTACTGAAATTCTGCAGATGCTCTGTGGGGTTTAAAAGTCAGCGCTGTGACCAGAAAGTGAACCCTTGTGATTACTACTGTCAGAATGAGGGAATTTGCACTTTAACTGCGTTTAATGAACCAAGATGCAAGTAGGTTTAACCTTCCACTTAATGCTGCACATTGTGACATCATTTCAGGCCACAGTTCATTGGTTCAAGTCATGCACATTCACATACATTTCACAATATATACTTAATCTGGGGGCTCGCTTCTATAATACACACTTACCCTTTGATAGTTGCTCTGATGAGTATATTTAAACATACTTTTGAAGTATCTATAGCATTGAAGGAAGAAAGAAAAAGCTTTATTTTTAAGAAATGAATGGAAAATACTGAAAATGCCACTTGGCTTTTATTGTTCGTATTTTGAGATATCTTACCAAGTTAATCCTACACAGCATAAAGTTTAGCAAACAGTGATGTTGCACATGTTCTGTAGTCCAAAACTGACTTCCTATTTCTTATCTGTGCAGGGAAAGGAACAGAAGAGCTATTTAGGTACCACTTCAGGAGTTAACCTTGTATTCTTAAGTCTCATTGTCAGCTTTATAGAAATAATGCTGCAAAATAGAAACTGTTAAACGAAACTGTGAGCTACCTCATAACTCTGACTTCTGATTAAAAAAAATGTATGAAATAGATACATTTGTATGCTGTATTTCTCTGAAGAATTTTAGATCTATTTCTTAAAGAGAAAAGTTTAATCCTCCTCAGGGAAAGAAACAACCATAGTCTTTGAAAATGCTGTAAGGCAGACATACACAGAGATATGAAATACCAGTCAGATGAACATAGCTTTACTCAACAATTGTAATACAAAAGTCAGAAGTGAAATCACAAGCCAAAGGCCTAGACTTGGGATAAAATATGAAACTCCAACAGCTTTAATCTTATCTCATCTAAATGCATGGTTTATGAAAACATAAAATGCTGTGGGGATGTGCTACAGTTGTCTGGTGAGTAGCAATGACAGTGACTAATGGTGAATAATCCTCTCATTTTTTTGAAAAATATGATCACAGTTCTTTTGTCAGTGTTCTCAAGCAATGAAATTCTTATGACTTGAGCTACCATAAATCCATTGAAAAAGTAGATCAGTCTTGTAAGTACCGTTTCTTAAACTTTGAAGAGTGTGGAGTGGGTCTTTTGATCAGTGTTTCTGTGGGCCTTGGTTGCTTGGACCAGTTTGTGTCTCCATGTGTCATACATAAGTACATAATTCACTTCACACTCAGAATATAGGTATAGATAAAACTAGTGTTCCTGTTGTCTCTTCAGACTGGTTGTTGGGTTAGTATGGCCACCACTGCCTGCGTCTAGGAATTTAGAATCTTCTAAACTGTTTCTTTTTTTTACAAAGCCAAGGTGGCTTAGAGGAAAGGGAAGAGAAGCAAATAGAAGTTGTTCGATGGAGTTGGAGACAATTACAGTGACAGCGAGGAAGAAGTGTAGCTCTGTATGTCTCAGTTCTCCTTGCCAACCTCAGCTCAAGCTCCAGTTGTTCCCATCATCTTGTGTTTTTCTGGCACCAAGTTAGTTCTTAACTGGAGCTTGTTTATAATTTTACCAACCTGATATTGTCAAGTAGGAGACCCCAGGAAGAAAGGGAATCATCCCATGCTTCACGGGAGTCATTGTGTCAGGGAACAGGCTTCTCAAAGATTTTCTGTGTAAGTTCTGCTCTGTTAGGAAAAATGGTTCGTCCCTCCGACCTGCATGTCTGGCCATGTTATGCATGACATCTGTCTCTGGTCTCCGAGGCACACTTATCTAAGGGCTAACATTCTCCTTAACCAGTCTCCAATTCATGGGTGGGTGGTTTTTAGAACAAAAAGGAAATGGCTGAATTGTCATTCAGCAAGAAAGCCTCTCTCTCTCTCACAGCCAGATCAGTTGAGAATGCAAACTTTGTATATAATCAAGCCCTTACTATTCAGTAAAAGACAGTAGAGAATAAGATTTTTCTGTTCCAAAGGGCCATCCTGAAGCCATAATTATACAGAGGACCTGTAAGCCTATAAGAACATACTCTTCTGTTACCAACCTGTACTGGTAGGGTACATTTTATTTTTATCTTCCTAACATAAGTTTGCTTGTTTGGTTTTTTTTGTTTTTTTTTTTTTTAACCTGAATGCAGTAAAATTAGGTGCACATTGGAAATAGAAGTTGTGCTTTTTACCTAACCAGTTTAGGAATGAATTAAGGCCTCACTGTGGCTGCAGTGTAAGCCACCATGAAAGGAAGGTTTTGTGAAGTTGTTCTCCAGTTTCAATGAATGCTCTGTCAGGTTCTAAAAGATACAGCATATACTGTGATATCTCTGTGGATATAAGGTCCTATGTGATCTAGATTATTAATTCTTAGCTTTATTTTTAGAAATATAAAGAACATTCTTCCCACCCCCCATTATCGTCCGTTTTGCTCAATAAAAAAAGTTGCAAGATTTTAGTATCAGAATGTTAAAATTTGAGGTACTGACGTTTTCTGAAAAAATGTGCCACTGAGGGTGTCTTTAAAAGAAGTATTATCTTACATATACTTACTGCCTTCTTAGCATTCACATACTGTTTTTTAAGAATATCTTTAGTACTCCTCACTAATGGGTTGGGGGAGTGTGATGTGTGTAACACTAGAAGCATATGAGATGTGTCTGAATTGCTGCAGTGACTTCACAAATCCGTTGAAAACAGCATGAACAGGAGATCAGATTCAGATGGGAAATAATCAAGAAACGCTTTTTCTATTTATTTCACAAACTGTCAGTTCCATCTGTCCTATCAGGCTGTCTTTTGTGTTAATAATTACCTCTGTTTGCCTCACTGTTTCCTGCTCACTAATTACCTAACTGCGTATACATTCATGCAAGAGAAGCAAGGTTCAGGGGGAGATTATATGTTGTTATTATACCAAGGAAGACAGTTGGAAAAAAATTAAAACTTTCGACTATACAA